CTTCAAGAAAAACGAATACAAATTTTAGGATACTTTGACAAACGTGGCATAATGCATCGTTTTGCAAAGGTTTCCGGTAAGCCTGATCGGTTTAGAATTACATAATGCATTTTTTGTTTGGGTGATTAATTTTCATTATGTTTTGCTATTAATGTCCCGGCGTGTGCTGACCACCTTTCGAGATTTATGGCGTTTTCAGTGAATTCTCCTGGTGGTATGAACGGCTCATATATATTTCAGCGCTGGCAGCTCAGTAAGTTGCTTTAGGATACAGGCGGTAAGTATTTCGTATTCGGTGATAATGTGTATGTGTCCAAAGCAATAACGTAATGGCTCCATTTAATACGGCTCCCTTGGTGGACCGAGAGGCCCGCGCTAGCTACAACTTTCAGATTTACCAGGTACGAATACGAGTTAAAATGGCGGTCGGACTGTTGTTGAACAAATGGAGGATACTGAAGCTGCCGTTGCATATTCGGCTACGCCACAGCCGCTTTATGATTTCTGCCTGTGTACGGCTTCATAACTTCTGCATCTCAGCGGTGCAAGCCCTCTTGAGTACCTGCGAAACAAACTCGGATATCCATGATACGATAAGTTCACTCATGGACAATGAAGAATAACGAGAATACGACGCTACTGAAGTCGAATTCGGCGATGGCAGTCACGTGGATCTGATGGATGATAAGTCCGTACGAACCTTGTCCAAAAGATTACCAGTAGAAACCTTTATCGTCCTTTTCAAGACGGCAGAAAGAGAGTCAGGAACAATCCACTAGCTCTCATAATCAGCAGGAGCTGGCAAATGCAGATCCGGTAGTGATGGAGGCGCTGGGAAAATGAATCAAATATTATCATCAAGTAAACAGTTTAGAAAATGCTGACACACAGACATGGGTAATGCTGAAACTTTTAAAATTCTAAAATGTTAAAACTCTCATCACAAACTTGAGAATCCGTTATTCCGTGCATTGAATACTAATGATAGACAGTACAGCGCTTGTTCATTATGCTAAATGCACCAGCGTGCTCAGCATTGCATTATAATCAGAGTTGTTTCGTGCATTGCACAAAATTGCATTAAAGTACTTTTGTGCAGCACAAAAGATTTTCGTGCACTTGCATTCAGCATTTTATTACGTAAATAGTCCAGACCAACGAGGCATCACTGATGGGCGCTCAGGTGGACTTGTCAAGTCACTATAGATCCCATCAAGAAGCCAATGACCTGGTACGGCTCACACCGCGTGAGGCTTGCCAGTTCAGGCTTCAGCATTTGGCTTCGGCGTGGAATCAGTATTTAGCCACAAAACTTAGTCCGAGCTGAGTTTTGATTTTACAAAATTTACCACGTCAGAACCGATGCACTAACAGCCTTAATTATTATAGCTTTCATGTTCGATCAATCACACAAACATTTGTCCACTACTTCCACACCAGGGAAATGGCGCCGATTTAATAATTACATACGTACAATAAGTGTAGTTTTTTTTTCATACTCCTGTCCGCACTGCTTTACTGTTAGAACGATTTAGGGTACCTAATGTCGCTCCAATATTGTAGTGCTGTTTGTAAAAACTTAATTGTTTTGTGTGTATCACATTACACTTTGGATACTATGGGTACATTGGCGAGCTTTTATTACTCTGCGGGTTGGGGTCATTTTGCGCCGTAACGTCACATCTAGAACGAGTTAGAGCACTGTCACATGGCGACCAACCGATTCAGCCTCACTGCTCTTTCAAACATGAAGACTCGATCTCCAATGCGACACAAGTTTGATGACATGCCCGAAGATTTATTCAAGCACAGAACTCTGGTGATTCTGGAGCTGAAAGTACTGCCAAGCCTGTCGTCAGGCCGTTTAATCCTCGCACTCCAAAACTGGGTCGCCCAAAGAAAAACAGAGCAGCACAAGATGCTCTACGAAGTGCAGACCGCAAAGAGTACAACCAAGGAGCAAAGTTGAGAAACGCACGTCGCGGTGATGATGCTGTTCGGGTAGAGGAGTTTCTGAAGACTAGTAAGCCATCGTTACTGACGTTGTTGTCGTACATGAACACGTTTGAGACGCGTCACAACGGGTGCAAGGAAAGAAAGGCTGAAGTGATAAAGCAAGTACTCACGGAAACTTGCGTTCCGTATCGACTGCCTGAACAATTGGTAAAGAAGACGTTTCAGCTCATCGATCGCCTGACACCGTACGGGGATGTCATGGACGTGCGTACACCCCCGGACGCAAGTGAGGAGTGTTGGTTAGCGGGCATTAAAGGGGTGGGCAAGTTTACGCAGCGGCAACTCATGGCAATGCAATACTTGGGTGACATGATGAGAGATTGCACAAACAGACTGACGTGCTACTCATCGTTGATGAGCAAGGTGGACGAATTAATCAATGACGAAGTATTAGCTTCAGTGGCAAAGCAGATGATTGGGACGTGGTCTGCCGAGCGCCTATCAGGATTTGGTGAAGGCTTTCAAATGAATTGGGCGCACTTGTATTATGCTGGGGACGCTTGCTGGTATAATGACAACGACATCCAAGCCTTTGCCAAAACGCTGGAGGTAAAGTACGACAACATCTGCATGGTCTATTTACCACAATTGAAGACACCGGTGTGGTGTAGTAGAACACACAAATACCGTCAGATGTGGATTCCTTACACAAACCACAACGAATCGCCGAGCTAGGTCGGCGGTCGTATGGCCTGCGCAGAGGGTGGTCCCCTCGCGGTCCGGCCATTCCGGGACGGACGAGTGGCTCGCTTCCACTCGGTTCCGACTAACCAAGTCAGATCACTTCCGAGGCTCCGCCGAGTTTGGTTCGGCTGAGCTCGTTCACAACCCTGTGCCCTCCACCAAAGGATTGACGACGGCGCGCGAGCGCTTTTACAGGTCACCGAGCGCAGAGGCTGCTCAGCTAGAAGTGTTACGGCACCCAAGCTATCCGACGTACCGGCCCGCTGAGTGTGCGGGGCTTTCTCTCGCGCGTAGCGAGACTTTGTCCTACCCGGACCGACCTAATCTCTTGGCGCTACCAGTCAATGCCCTACAAGCTATGCCTCTCGAGTACTGACGGCAGGCATAATCCAGCCCTATGCAGGGACTTACCGGAAAAGTGTACACGTGTCTTGGACGAGGAAAATTCTGCTCTGTTATCTTCTGGGAGCCCTTTTGGCTTCCCCTATTTAATCCTATGCTTCTCATACAAATATCTAGTGAAATGTAGTCGTTTCGGATCTCTACCGACCCTTCAGCTGGGCTCAGGCGACCGTTGAGCTCAGCGGCTATCCGGATAGCATCATCCGGACAGATCGCCGAGTACATACCGTGATCCTTTGTTCCTAAGCTCTGGGTTATCAGACCGAGCCGATTCTTGATCTAAAGTACGTTGGCGTATGGTCGAATCTGGAAATCCCTACACCACACCGGCGCCAGACAAGGACAAGCGCATTGGGCCGCGAACATTGGGTGCAGCGGGGCTGCCGTAGCTTTAGCGTCAGAGGAAGACGTTCGACTCAAAGAGTCACTAATACTAAGTTCCTTATCCAAAGGACACTTACAGCCCAAGACCAGGGCTCAAAGTTAACACCTTAACTTTTATGCTTCAAAACCAGAAGTGTTTTATTTACTATTATTGCGGCCAAGCCGCCTAGGGGTAAATGTATCTGTTTAACTATCTAGCATAGCTAAACCTAATCAAATGCATAACGTGTGGCTTTCGGCCAACGTACTGAGAGACCCTATTAACTCTCCAACTTATGTACTGAAAGTTTGTTAACTCTCCGGGTACTTCGTACCCCTGTGTGTTCCACACCTTGTAACCCCGTTACATTGGGTCTATTAACGGGCACCAACAAGGACTGGGTGTTCATGCCGTTGAATGTCAATGGAAACCTTTGGATGTGTCTTGTTGTCAACCGACCGCGGCAGACTATATACTGCGACGATAGTCTCGACAAGCGCGCTTACCACAATTTACTGGAAGAGCTGGCACAGGAACTCAACCAGAGAGTTATGAAGCAACCGTACAAGATTGTTGCTGTCCCCACCCCTGTCCAGACTGACAGCAACAATTGCGGTTTGTTTGTCTGTCTGTACTTTTGGCGTCGGGTGTACAAGGAAGCTGGCAACGACTACTCCGAGAAAGGGTTGCTGTGCCGTCGCTGGGATGTGCTACGATCTGTTATTGAGTTCAGCGACTCTTGCAAGAAGGAAGACGAGGATAACAAGTGATCAATACATATTTCGCTCCGTGGGTTTGCATGTTTTGCATGTTTCCAGCGTCTTGAAGGTCTTAGCGTGTGTAGACGTGTCATGCGAACATTACGAAACATAGTTTCAACCCAGGACAGATAAGAGTGCGAAGTGTAGCCGACGGACTGAAAGTGTGGTCATTCTTGAATTTTTACGTCTTGCTGTCAATATGTTTCGCCATGTTTCAAAACGTGGTAAGCATGTACCAAATAAATTACATATCCTGTAAGGTAGTTCGTAATTTATTCTGAGAAAACATGGATGACACCTGGACATGTATCCATGATTACCATTTTTTGATACATAACCCTTTTCCAAAACATGGGCTGTATCGCCAGCCTTTCCGTTTAGTAAATAATACATACGCATATTGTCACCCCACTCTCGGCTCCCTGATCTTGTCGTGCGCTCTATCACCTTAGTAGCTTCGTTTATAGACAACCTAGTACCGGTTAGTGTCACCGTAGCGCCTATATTTGATACTGTTTTCATCTGCTCCGTGCTACCACAACGTCCCAACACGACCGATGTAGATACGTGGCTCGCTGTCAATCGTGAAATGAGCGCTTTTTTTTCGGTCGACAATATGCAATAGTGAAAACAAGTCAAGCGAATAATACGAGACTTTAACCAAAAACAAAAGTTAGCTTTGCTTTTCACTTTTGATGGTGCATTTGATTGGCTATCATGTTGCAAATTTTATAAGTGGTGAAAAGGAATTTTTACAGTACGTCTGTTGAGTCATGGCCTTAGTGCGAGCGTCCTCCAAGCTGCTGTTGACGTCGCGCATATCGCCCTCGGCGCGGCGGCTTTCGGCGCTATCATTCGTGCCGCAGCTGCGAGCATCGATCCCTCCGTCGCTACCTACCATTCACGATTTGGTCGAGCGCTACGAGGTGCGGTGTGGAACTACCGCACATTTTATGAGTGACGCTTACGATATTTTCATGTGCCTCGCGAACAGCGCGGCGTGCAAACTTTCAAACCAAATGAAAGCATTCAATCCGACGTAGTCTTTGCGAACAACCACCTTCGGTACGAGTGGCAAGGACGACGCATTGAGGGTAACGTTTGATGCCGATGTTTTAATTGTGTGTTTGTCAGATTGTCTGGCATCGACGTCGTCGGTTTCGGTAAGCCTCAATGATTGCAATAATTGCAACTTGAAAAGCCTGTATCTGACCGACATACTGTGCAGACTATGACTACACGCTGTGCCACTACTCGGAGGAACTGCAGCATCTCATCTACGCAATGGCGAGAGACTACATGGTGCGTTCGAAGCAGTCGCTCACTTCATGAATCGCTTCTTTTGTTGGTGGTGCCCACTATTGTGTCGTGCTATAGGTGAGCAAGTTACGGTACCCCGAGGGCGTGTCGGTGCTGCAGTACGACCCAAGCTTTGCCATTCGAGGTCTGACGATCGACAAGCAAAAGGGTCTTCTGTGCAAGATCAGCTCGCACCAGAAACTGTCAAACACGGCGGTATTCCGGGGACGCCATCGACTCTCGCGGGACGAAGTTATGGAGTTATATGGAGGCTCTAGACATATTTCTGTGCGCGATCGTGACTACAACATGGAGCCGTTGAACGATCTCTTCAGTGTGGCGCACGCATGTCTGTTTGCCGACGTGGTGCAGTACATGATTGATCGCGACATCGAGTACGAACCGATCGCATTGGTTGAAGACGTTAACCAGGCCATCACGAACGTCCATCTGAGCGGTGAGATGCACAAGGAGGTAGCACGCGATCTATCGAAATACATTGAACCCAACCCGGCCTTGAGACCGCTTCTGGAACGCATTCGGGTCAGTAATTATGATGCTGCTATGTATTGACAGGTGCCGGATGGGTAATTAACTCTGTGCTTTTGCAGAACTCTGGCAAGAAGAGTTTTTTGTGTACAAACAGCTCGTTTCCATACATCAATGCTGGTCTAAAGTATATGCTGGGGGACGACTGGCGAGAGGTACGCTTAGCTGAGGTTTTAAAACGTGAAAACTGGATAACGTTTTTTCTTTGTTGTTGTAGCTATTCGATGTGGTCATTGTCAGCGCACGGAAGCCTAAATTTTACACGCGCCAGCGCTCCTTCCGAATGCTCGACATCGGACACAAACAAGTCCAGGTAAGTCACTGCTTAAAGAACTGTTGATATCCTTCTAGCTGCTGACATGTGTGTGTTTTCAATTGACCGGATTAGTGGCAAGCTGTGCGAGCACTGCACCGCGGAGAGGTTTACACGCAAGGAAGCGTCTACCAACTATCGAAACTTACCGGTTGGGTGGGCAGCCGTGTGCTTTACATCGGGTGTGTGTGCTTTTTTCTCGCGAAGGATGAGTCATCTCATGCGTACTCTTTTTAACGCCCGTGTTACAGCGATAACTTGTTTTCAGATTTGGTTGAGCCCTCGCGTGCAAATGGCTGGCGAACGGGTGCGATTATCCGGTATGTCTTGAGATGCAGATGCTTGCTTTGTTTCATAGTGAACTTGTCTTTTGATGCTCTACTACATGTAGTGAGCTGGAAGATGAGATGAATGTGCACCGGACGCCTGAATACCAGCGACTTGCATTTCAGGTGCGAACGGTCTTTACTACAGCTGTGAAACAACGTAAAAACTGATGGTGATAATACTTCCAGATCAGCAAAATCGAAGAGTTAATGCGCAGCATCCAGAACGACTTGCGCTCGGAGCCAGTTCCTCAGGTACGTTGTCGATACCGGTAGTGTGTTCGCGGCGGCTTTTGAGTGGCAAACTAAACCTCTTTTTCTTTTTCACGCTACGCTTAACTTACCTGTTTAGAACCACGCGTTTGTGGATCAACTGGTTAATGTTCACGAGGCGCTTCAGACGGAGATGGAGAATCTGGTCAACGTCAACTTCGGATCGGTTTTCCGAGCTGACACGTACCCATCGCAGTTCGCCTTCCTTGTACAGCGCTATGTCGATATCTATTCAGCACGCTTAGAGAACCTGTTGGAGTATCCCTCCAACCATACGTTCTACCCTGAGCGCATTGCCATGCCACATGAGTACCCCGCCGAGGCGTCGCGGTACGACTAAGGCGACAATTCTCGCATTTGAGATTGCCTAGCCCACGTTCGTGCTGGTAGTGAGCAGGGGTTTTGATATCAAATTGACTGCGAACAAACCACAAACTTTGTTCGATTCAAACAGGAGATGTGTCATTGCGAATTGAAGTGCTATTGTTCCGTTGAACATGATACACTTCAGTAAAAGCTTTTACACTATATGTACTTAAAAAAGTTCTGAGGTCGGTTTGGGTCATTCTGCTTTTGTATTCGAGTTATTTCTATGCTGCGCTACGTGTAACCAATCAACGGTATTCGTGTTGGTGAAAGCTTAGCGATTGATTGAAGGTCGAGCGAGGAACACCTCCAGATCTAGTCTTCCGACAGGCACGTCCCACCGAACCAAGGCTCTAGGGTAGCGTCGATCACGTAGTTCAGCAGCGTGGGGGCATGGCGATTCATTGTCGCCACATAGGTCTCGTAGATTGTGCCTTTCTTGTTGATTTTATCAGCTGAGTAGTCCGGAACCAGACGCAAGAGAGTACGGAACACAAAACTCGAGCTATCGAAGCTCAAGTCAAAATCCGAGATCGACTCGAAGTCAAACTTGAGGGTTTTCACAGACGCATCTTTGAGCCTCATAAGCACCTTCTTCATGGTGTTTGCAAAGTGTAGTTTCTTGGTTGCGCTTTCTAGGTCAGTCTGAAGCTCCGCAATTGTCAAATTGGTACACACGGAAGCTGATACATCGGGCGCACACGCGTACATGTTCGCCTCAACTTCGACCGAAATCGTCGGTTACTCCAGCACAAAGTGCAGGTGGGCTGTAGCAGATTCGTCCATCTCCTCGACAAAAGCACTCAGCTCAGCGTCCACGGCTATCTGGCCAGAGGAGGAAGTAGCAATAGCAGCAGAATTCGGTGAAGTCACGTTGATATCTTGCGGGACAAAGTTCGTGAGGCCGGTGATATTTATCGAGTTGATAGCAGTTGAGATCGTCACGTCTTGGCCCATAACGCTGTAGTTAAACCCTCGGAGCGGGACTTTGCTTCGAATCAAGGTCATAAGTACCAAGTATCGAGCCGAGCAGTTTACCTACTTCGGCAGTCTTCATTCCATCATTTAAGTCGTTAAACTCCCCTTCTATTAACACGCAACTGTCTTCGACCGCAGAGCTAGAGCCACTTAGTGTGGCGAGAACGATAGTGGCAGCGAGCAAGATCATTTTGATCATGAGTGCGTTGCGAAATGTCGAAGGGGAAGCAAATCGAAGACTGATGAAGCAGACGAGTCTCTGAACCGTGAAATAAATACATGTTCTAGCAATCTCATTAATTAAATTGGCATGTACATGTGGTCCGTCTCCGTTGGGACATATCCAAATGATCGGGACAAGATCCGGAGAGGGAAACACTTCCAGCTCTACGTGTAACAAGTTGGTACCAGGTAACTGGTTCTTTATACTTTTACGATTGAGCTTTGCATCTGCATAATGCAATTTCGTCACAGTATCGGCTACAGCAGGGTGGCATTGTTATTCAAACGCTAAAAGCGTAGAGGTTCCCTCTCTGGATCTTTTCCTGAGGAAAGGAAGGAAATGGGGTCCAGATATTTGCTGTTCAAGTCACTGTTTATGAATGATTGTGGAATCCACAGATCCACAGTGGATCTGTACATCCCAATGCGTTATTTAATAGAGCTATTGTGACCCTGGGCTCCCTATAGTGTCAGTTATGGTGCGCGTGTGGCCACATTTACAGCGTGCCCAGAGAGAGAGTTTGTTTTCGACTGCGGGGTACGTGATGGTGGACGCAGGAACTGAGAAACAGCTAACTTACTTCGAAAGCACAACCGAGCTAAAAACGAGCGTATGCGTTGAATAAAATTAGAACGCTCTCACTAAATAAAGTCAGTCTTTTTTACTGCAAAAGCACTGGTGCCGAATCGGAAACGCATTTCAGCTTTTTTTTATCAGGATTCCTACAGCAGCTTGGGTTTTGGTATACCCAGTCAAAATGCATTTAAAAATGTCTTAGGCTGTGTTCGATCTAAGCTAAAACCAGCTGTAATTGTTATTAACCCCTTTAGCCCCGCCGCCTGTATTCTACATGATAAAAAGTTTCGTATCCTGTATAATACAGGATACGATATCAAGGTAATTTGCAGTATACAAATGCTAAGTCTTTCTATACAAATTACAAGTGACACATGCAAATATAAATTTTTAGAGTCACGTTGCTAACCTCGGGGGTGATTATTCGTGGCCACAAAATCTCGAGATTTAGGGCGCGCAAATTTCGCGCCATTCGCGAATCGGACGGACACGAGAGAGGAAGATCGCCATGCCAAAACGAAGGCACATCAAGCCACTTACGTGGACCAAGCTCTGGACCAAGCTGAAGAAGTTGGGGTGGCAGCTCGAGCGTCCTAAAGGACTATCTAGTGATAACCGATACTTCACACCTGCTGGCTGGGCAAAAAGACCAAACGTAACGCATCTCGTTGATTTTTTTAATAGGGCCGACGAGGTGTGGAAGCACTTACCCGTAGAAGGTATGTACATGTACATGTATACGACTTACAAATGCTACATTTACTAACAAGCTCTTAGTGTTGTACGACGAGGTCCCACCTGCCAAGCGACCCGCCTCAGTATCCACGACTACCACTGATCTACCAGACAATGCGGCAACCACACCCGCTTCGCAGCCCCGCCCTGCCGACAATACTAACTCAGCGTTTTCTACCAGCGCTCCGACACCGACCGAGACGCCGGCCAAGACCCCGACTAAGTCGCCAGTCAGGTCGCCGACCAGGTCATCCGCCAGGTCGCCGACCAAGCATAAGGCCAAGTCGCAAGCCAAGTCACTGCCAAGTCGCCCGCTAAAGCGGCCTTCAAAGTCTCCAGCAAAAGCACCGCCCAAGACCCGTGTCAGATCGCCGACCAAGCCACCAACTACTCCAAAGAAACGAGCAGGTAGACCTACAGCTACAACACCAGTAGAGAGTGTGGAACGACGTGTACTTCCTCCTCAGAGTGCACGCCTGGCAGCTCAGGCGGTTGATATCTCGGCTGGCGACGATCGAATGAGCTCTGGAGATGAAGATGAATACGGATTCGACGACGATCGCGACGATATGTCTGACATTGACGATACCAGTGATGGCTCTGAAGATGAAGGAGAAGAAGTAACCAGTGATGAAGAGGATGCTGTGGATCTCTCCGTCGGAACTCCATTCGACAAGATGAGCAAGGAAAAATTGAGTGAGCATGCGAAAACTGGCTGGACAGCCTACTTTGAAGACGAATGTAAGTACTGTGCTGTACGAAACAGGCTATCATGCACCTCGCTTTATTCTTTATCCTGTATTCGATACTAACATAGCTTGATGTACTATGCAGGCACTTCGCTACAAATGCCTGCCGCTGAGCTTACGCAATGCACAGCAGCTCCTACCGAGCTAGCTGAAGCACTCGGTAACAATCTAGAAGGATTATTCTTTCTATTTCTTTCTAAAAAGAGGTGGGTTTCTATCGCAGATGAGTCCAGCCGGTATCAACATCAATACCGCACGCAGGCAGCGGACGTCATCATGGCACGTCAAAAACGCATCAAGAAAAGACGTCCTGCGTACAAGATGAAGAGTTTGCAGCAATTTATCAAGGACGGCTGAATAGTGATAGCGCAGACCTGAATCAAGGCCCCAATGCCGTTCTTCGCAATGTGGAAGACGTTCTCGACGGATTACCAAAGAAGAGGCTGATTATCTCCGACCGCTTCTACTCGAGTGTGCTTTTGTCGTCCATCTTACTGAAACGCGGACTTTATCACGTTGGGACCATTCAAACCAATCGACGAGGATACTGCAAAACTATCACTGTACAAGCAAGCAAAACGGCCGAAGACTATGAAACGAGGATCCTACCGTATCGCTCGGTCCAAGACAGACCCCAGAATGGTAGCTGCGTCCCGGATGGACAACCGCACCGTACACTTCATTGCAACAGGTTGCAGTACTACTATCACGCCGAGCAGGAGCAGAGGTTGTCAGTGTCCCTGCACCCGAGCTGGTAAAAACGTATCAAGACAGCATGGGAGGAGCAGACGTACATGACCAATTGCGCTTGCAAAGATATTTCATTCAGGTATTTGTCATTGTTTTCGTATCCTGTACTGTAGTTGGTATCGATAATCATACAATTTTTTATTCTGTATTGAACAGGGTGTTATGAAAATGAGGAAATATTACCACACCATTGTTTTGGGCTTGGTTGACATGGCGCTGATCAACGCATACATCATTTTCCGACGCGTCCAAGGCGAACGCAGAAGGGCGTTGCCAACCCACGCGGAGTTTATGCGTTTGATGCAGCAATCACTGCTAGGCGTAGGAGCCGCAGATTTTGAAGGAGACTTGTCCGTTGAGGCAATGACGGAGACGCCAGTGCCTCCATCACCGACACCCCGGTACACGCTACCAGGACGCGACAGTACACAACAAGTTGATGCGTTTCGCACTACACGTACGAAGAATGGACAAGAGTCGAAGAAACGCCGGCAGTATGGGTGCAAGGTGTGCTCCTTGCTGCGCCCTGGAAAACCCCCGTGGGAAACAACGTTCTATTGCGTTGAGTGCTCTGCGGAAAGGTCGAGAGAAGGAGCGGCGGATAGAACTAATGCCCGAGGGAAGATATATCTCTGCCAAAAGGTGCGGCAACACGATTCGACCGGGGCGACGAACTCAGCTACTTGTAGCCAGATATGGCACGACCTTTGGCGTGGTGGGGCAAATATTCCTCCTGGGCTCAAGGCTTTACGACTCCGTGCTCCACATCCTCATGCTGGAGCTGATCAAGCCGATGAAGGGTATCTCGACACAGGTAGCGATAGCAATGGCAGTTCAAAGGCGCCGTCAATTAGTGCGAGGACATCAGTTGTCGTAGCTAGTAGTGTAGTTAGTGAAGCTAGTGATGCAGAGTGTATATAAACAGCCATCATTTAGTGAATGAAGATAATCTTGGTTAGTCAATAAATTTACTAAAATTTTGAAATGTGTTGTCTACAAATTCACCACTCGTCAGGCAAGTACAGCTTATCACGCTAAACTGGGCATCACGACTTTTTCATTTACCCTGTACTGTACCGAGTAGATAGCACGTGAGGATTGTGAGCCTTGCAAAACTCCGCAAATAGTTAACTCATATTAATCGCTTATCCTGTGCTGTACAGGGTAATTTTCGACCAAAAACGCGAGGCTAAAGGGGTTAAAGAGCCCATAAAGCTGAATGTCTCAACCAGCTTTATTCCGCTAAGAAACACAAAAAATGACATCCAAACGACTGGTTTCAAAACTCAGCTCTGGGTTGAATTTTGATTCGTTCTCCTTTGCCCCTTAAAACAGTGACAGTAGTTCTAAAACCAACGGATGGAGCAGCAGACGAAGAAACAAAGGGCGACCTGGAGGCGTGTGGATGAAAAGGCGCTGCTTAAGTGCTACCTTGCAGCGCGCAGCAATGCTTCCTTAAAAAGCGACAAAGGTGTCAAGTCAAAGGGCTGGGCGCTTATGGCTGGGGGGTCTCTGTGCTCAATAGCCGTGGTATGGGTTCCTTGAGTGCTATTTGCTTTTGAGTTGCCGCCTCCTGCATTTTAGCAAGCGATTGAAGGAGCCACAGGTCATCGTCGTCGTCGTGGTCGCTGTTTACCATTGTTCCCTCTTTGTCTACCTGAGTATAATGGTTGGCGGTCGCAGACGCCTTCAAATCCAGCCTTTTTCTGATGGAACACGATCACTTATTTTTATCTTTATTTTACATGTACTTAACAAAACGACTGTTCTAGCATATTTTCAAACAAGCTGGATTTGCCCCTGCAAACCTTAATATCGTACATGTATGAAAGTGTGTAAACACTTCTCCGTCTAGCCTCGTGCTTATTGAGGGGACTTCTGTACATGTACTGGTGTCACTCTTTATTTCAGCAGGCAGCAAGAGCGCTAATATAATAACGAGGCTTAACTACCTGAGCTAACGACCTAATTGTAAGAAACCGCGTTGTATTAAAATACATGTACAACGCGGAGTTAAAAGAAGATCTACCATACCAGATATAACAATTGTGACAGCAGTGAGTACATCTTACTTTACTTTACTTGAAATTTCAGCTAGTTTAGTATTCCCGGTTCGTGCTTACATGTATGCACGCGAACCACCTTGGCTGTCGGACGCCTCGAGAACAAACGTATTTTGATCATCGTCCAACTTGGTTGTCTTCTGCTCCTCCAAATGTTTCCTGAGCATGAACATCGCCAGCGGGTAGTGCAGCATCGCGATGATCATCAGGAAGAATGCTGTCTTCAACGACGTGTCGTCCTTCTCACCCAACGGACCCGCCTGCACCAGCCACAGCACGAACGTCAACATGGCCGTGAAGGCCGCCACACCAGCCAGGAAGAAGCCCCCACCAACCCACTTCTTGTCGCCTTGGCGGCACGTGATGGCGCCTACGATCGCGATGATGGCCATCAGACCGTTTGACATACTCATACCGCCGAACGTCATGGTTCCCATACCGAGAATACTACATGACTTGTCCAAAAACTTGTCGAACTGCGTGGCGTCCATACCGGCGGCAGTCGCCAGCACCGTCGCGTACGCCAAGCGTTCGGCCTCACTCACGTCTCCAGCCTTGCCGTAGCCTTCGCACGTGGCGTACTCTGAGTATTTGGTCCACACCGTCTCGTTGATGGCCTTAAGATCTTCGTAGCCAGATCCGAACTTGTAGAAGAAGCAATGTTCGAAGGTGGTGGTCGAGTTGGCGAGCTCGCTGTCAATACAGAAGCTCATGAGTCCCGCTTTGAAGTTTGTACTGGTGATCTCACTAGTGAGCGCAGGGTTGACTGTGGAGTTGGCTGTCCACATGGGAAGTATCAAAGCGACGGCGTTATAAAGCGTGCCGATGATGATCATGACGATGGCACCGTATCCGTGTTTTGTGATCACCATACCGCTAGTGTATCGGTGGAGCTGGACACTACGTGTATCGCTTAAACAATGTGATAATGGGCCGTGTGGTTTTGGTGCGTCAGTCCTGTAATATAATCAAATGCTCCCCACGTTAAGCGTAAGCAGCACGTGTACCGGTATGTATTACTACCATTTGTCTTGAGCAATAACCACGGATAGAAATCCATCTGGATTGGAGTTTGAACGCCTCGTTCCAGAGTAAACAAATCAATAATATGGATATCGGTAGCCGTAGATAATTTTATCTTTTTTAATTTATTCTCTAAAATAAATTTCAGGATCTGTTTTAATTTCCAAAACCAAATAGTCGTTTTCAAAATAACCATAAATGCATAAGGTTTAGTACTATACCGGGAGGTAAGAGCACTGATCGACGTGGACCTGTGCTCGGTTTTAGCCTTACAAATGTTACCTGTGTCGTCGCCCTCGCAGTTAAGTACGAATATTTTAGCATGGAATGTTGCACGAACAATTCTCGAAAAACTGATACCTGTCTAAATGGTGGGTAAATGAGGGCTATAAGTTTTCTCAGGTACGTCGTCGTTTTCTTCCTGCGGCTGACACTGAGTATACGATCTTGCACACGCCCGTGTAGCGAAGGCGGTCGCTGCGTGTGAGTAGTCCATATTGGACATACATTACTCCTGAAGCTCCTAAATATCCAACCGGGAGATGATCTTCAACCGTAAACGATTTGGATCACCCAACTTGCTTCTACAAACAAAAGCTACCACAACAAGTTAAGTATTTTTATCCGCCGCATGGCTGATTTTACTCAGTAGAAAGATAAATTTTAATAACACGTACGGTCACAAACTTTAGTCCCTGTCAGAATAAAGGGCGCAAGTCGTCTGCAATATATTTACATATATGAGACCACCCAAAACAAAATGATACTTACGAACCTAAGTACGAATCGCGATTTAAGCACTCTAAACAAAAGCGGAGCGTCTCCTCTTCTCTTGAGCCCTTATAAGCTACAGAAAGCCTAAAGCTGAAGAAGTTGTGGTCGCTCAAAAAAATTATCTCCATTTATGGGCCCTCGAAATGACGATACATTTTGCAGTGTTGTGAGCTCAATATTTTTTCAATTTTAAAAATTCAAGTGTTACTTAAAAGCTCTTGTTTTTAAAGCAATTGAATAAGGGTAGCTTTACAGTTTTTTTCGATGGAAGTTTACAAGTAAATGTCACAGTTTCGGTTAAGTGCGAAAATCAACCGCCCAACTTTAAGCTCGATTATCTCAAATGGTTCGTTAGTATCATTTTGTTTGACGCAAACTCATATATATCAACTAGCCGAGCGCCGCCGCTACGCGGCGGTAATTTAGGTTTAATTCTACTTGCTTTGGCCTTCCCTCCTTCGCTACGCTTCGGCGGAATAACTATTGAAATAACGCTGAACATATGTGTATCTAAATCAATTCTTTTTAATTTCATTAATTTGGGTCAGCATGATGCTTACCGGATTTAAGAAATAAATATTCTAATGATCTTGAATCAAGATTCTTGATGCAATCTCTTTTTTATTGCTGGCTATTAATGTTTCTTCATCTTCCACCCAAAACCACCTGCACTTCAAATAACATTTATACAAACGCTACACAATATGTTTAGTTTAGCGTCGTGCTCGATATCACGGACCATTTCTGAGCCGCTACGAAACTTAACTCACATGATATAATGGTATATACTGCTTGCACTTCTTACCTGCTTGTACTGCCTATTTGAGCTTGTAAGTAATAAAAATTGCGTACTTCACACACAAAACTCAATGAAAGCTAGAAAATATTCAAATCGTGATATTTTTATGCATGCAGCGCTCATTTTGTGCTGATTCAAAATTAGTCAATAGACACTCGATTCTGTACCAGTTATGATTAAAGCAATTGGATAATGTGTCGCAAGACGCCTTGCTGTTGTTGTTGTTGACGGTACAGTAGTGCTCTCAATTTGGTGGTTTAACGATAATTTCAGGATGATTAAACGTCATTTAGGCTCCAAGTTTATTAACGCTTCTTTTTGGTGTCTACTTAGCCAGCTATAATTAACACGTCTCGTGTTTTGTTGTGCTCCATTTAAAATCGTATCCTACGCCCCTGTCGGCGACACGTCCGCCAGTTAAGTAGTATCGGATTTTGCTGCCTAACAACTCTTAGAAAACAATGGCTTACAGCAGTCTCTTAGAAAGCAATGGTTACAGCAGTAACACATATGAGTTCATTCTATTCAATCTAAAACTGTTTATCTTTATGGATCAGATGACATCGTTTATTGGCACAGCGTTGTTTTTACAGCCAGCTTCTGTTGTACGTGTACTACTATTTGGCAGCTCAATCAGCTACCTCACACTCAGATATGTTCTTAATATTTCTACTACAAAACAGTTGTAGCTATTATTTTAGTCATTGTAACTTGCAGAAACTATTAAGAACATAGTATTATAGTACGGCCTCGAAAACACGCATTCCTACGTGTACGCTAAGCACCTTGCAGCATAGGAAGCGTCTTTAGGGGCTATTTCATTTCAGAATAAGTAGCTCTCTCTCTGTTTAGCACTCAAATATTAAAAGCAACATGCATAATTAAAAAAGTAAATACTTCGTAATATAAAAACGATGCCGCCTTCGGATACCTTATCGGATATCGCTTACAGTAGTAATTGTCATCAGCACATATAAGTTATTTTTGCTCAATCTAAACCTATCTATCTTTGTGGCTCAAGCGACAACGTTTATTAAAACCGTTGCTCTTACGGCCAGTTGCTGCTGTACATTTGGCAGCTCAGTCGGTTGCCTCACATTCAGAATGTTCTTAATATTAAACAGCTGTAGCTATTCTTTTAGTCATTGCTTCTTGCAGAAATAATAAAGAACATAATATTTTGTGTATTAATAGTATGGCCTCGTGTACGCTTAGGGGCTATTTCATTTGAGAATATGAAGCACTCAAATATTAATAGCAACATCCCATAATAAAATAGTACAAATTAAAACTTCGTAGTATTTAAACGATGCCGCCATCGGATAATGGATAGTCTTGTGCAGATCTCCATATGTGCTCTGTGAACCACATAAATTTACTGATGTAAGGTACATAATTCAGTTTTAACCAATCGAAGCCGCCTTCGCTCCGCTCGGCAGCCAATGATAAAGCTCAAAAACCTGAGCGTTTCGTGTGACGGACGGACAGACACCGTGCTAGCCTTGATACTTTAGGACTAGCCGTTCGCCGCCGCTACGCGGCGGAGTGGCATGGTTTGTTGGACATGAGGTGGCCGCAAATTTAGTGCTTCTTGGTGTCGCGTGTTTTGTGGGCGTCGTTCAACCTAGTACGTCGTAGCTTCGTGGAGTTAACCACTTAACTGTCCGTAATCTCATGTGGCTTTGTACAATATCGTGGTTTGGTACGTTTCCGTTACCCCGTACTACAGGTTGAATGTCGTGTTCTTCAATGGGCTGTGCTCTTCCGTGTTCTACTTGGTTTCGTGGCTCTCTGTTCACCCGTGGTCCACGCTGTTTGTGGATATGCGCTCTCTTTTGAGCTTATGCACTTTAGTACAGCCTATTTCGTGGCTCCTAGCTATTCTCTGTTCTCAAACGTTTACGCGGGCTGTACCGCTTTCGTGATACATAGGCATTCGTGGCCGTTGGCCTCCCATCGCCGTTACTCTAACCAAAGGGTGCTATTCCGTGCTTTGGTGCCTCCACGCAGTCGTGTGGTTCCGTCGCCCGTGCATCGTGATCTCCTGATGAAGTGTCATCGACCGCGGTATCACGCTATCGTGCAATCGCGGTGTGGTTATGCTTTCTATGGTATTGTGCACGTGTGGTGCATCTGCGTTGTCCGTGTTATCGTGCTCTACGATGCCATCGTGCTCCACGGTGTGTAATCGTGGTCATACCAAGCCCACCCCCTGTGCATTTGGTGGGTGGTCCGCAGTCCGTGCAATCGTGTTCTTATGTACGGCTGTCCTCCGTGGCTCGGTACGCTCAGGCTCTACACTGGTATGGTGCTCCGTGACTCGGTGATTTCGCGTGGCAGCGTGTTCTCCGATGGTTAAGTGGCTAACCCACCGTCCATACTGTCGTGTTATGTCTTGGTGTCGGGGCTGGGCTGTCGTCTGTGTTATCGTTAGCTACCGTAGTGTCGCGCACCGTGGATCGGTGAGCTCATGTTCTACCTAGGCATCGTGCTCCAAAGATTGATGATTTCTGATTTCCCGTATCTGAACTCCTGCGGGCTCAGGTTTGGTCGGTTGACTGTGCTCCATGTTTACCCGTGGTGTTGTTGGAGTATTGTTTCTGTGCACTCTCACCGATACGTGTTCTACCGTGGCTTCGAACGTCCGTGCTCTTCCGTAGCCCGTGCTTTTCAGCATGCTGGGGTGTGTATGTATTTAGTTCCCTTCCGTGGCCCGTACGTTCCTGTCATGTTCTGTCCATATGTTCTTTTCATGGCTGCGTGCTCTTTCATCTTTCACGCTACTTATAAAACTTCGTGGTTTGCATCGGCTAAGTCTTCTATCATCGTACATGGCCTTCCGTGCTTCGTGTTGCTCTTCTATCCCATCGTGTACATAGTGTAGGTCGGTATTCCTTCGTGTTTCGTGTCCTTGCTTAGACATGTGCATCCGCGCCAACTTAATCACAAACGCTGTTCCCATTTTGTTTGATGTACACAACGTATATTGTTTGATGTACACAACGTATATTGTTGGAAAGTTCACATAATATCTTAACGTCGCACACTACGCGCGCAAATACAAAGGAAGATGATACTTTTCCCGGGGGCAGTGTGGGGTGCAGGGGTGTAAGCCACAATAATCTTATTATAAAGTATTCACATTATTATCAATAGTAATAAAATTGTGATTATTTATCGAGTGCTGATTTATTAATTATGTGTACTACTACTACTACTATTTGCAAGCAAAAATATGAAATATTTTAAGAATAGTACCCACTCAAAACAGTTTTG